CTAGCTAGACCCACAGTCCTTCAGATTGACAGCACATTACAGGAGCTTGGAGAAATGATATAAAAGTCCTGCTCAGCCCCTCCAAGCCTTCCATTACTGTCCTTGAGGCTGTCAAAAAAAAATACAGCTGCCCAAATTCATTATTATGAGTTATTTCTGATTTTTCCTTATTCTTTAGAATAGAACTATGTTCAGATTACACAATTACATACGTAACGTAGACTACGCATACGAATAAGGTTGTGCTCTCAGACCGCGTAAAAAACTTTTTAAAAAGTGTATTTAGATGGCAATATCATAGAAATTGGGGGCAGAGAGTATCAAAGCACTGGGGAAGAAACATTTAACAACACAGTCGCTTAGTGATGAACAGCACTGAGGCCCACGAATCCCAGCCAGGACACTATCTGCATGGAGTTTGCATGTTCTGTGTGGGTTTCCTCCCACAGCATAAAGACATGCTGGTAGGGTCACTGGCTTCTTTTAAAGGGTGGCCCTAATATGCATCCATACATAGGAACCTTAGACTTTAAAGTAGTATTAAACGTTTACACTTTTTTCAACAATGAATCCAGACAAATATACATCGCCCAGCAAAGCGTTTCTTTATATTTTTGTAACACTTACAGTCAGCACATTTCCAAACGGCTCCAACTCTCTCAGCTCGGCTTCCCTGAACTTCCTGTCCAGTACAAGATCACAAAAGACAGAGCAGACTACACCAGTTCTCCATCTACTAGCTTGGAGAAGGGAGGAAGGGTGAAGGGGAGTGTAATATCTAAATTGCCTTGGCTTCCTGAAATAAGCAAACTTGCTATTCTCTGCTTCCAATGATGATAACGATACAATGGTTAAAAGAAGCAATGGTCTAATTTATTTATACACAAATCTAACCAAACATAATAAAAGATACAAACAGATACAATAAGACAATCAAGAGAATACTTTACACAGCAAGTCCGTCCTCTGGTTCCTATATCCTGGCTGGGCTCAAAGAGAGAGCAATATTGCCGCGCACGGACTTTTATCCCATTCATACACATACATCGACACCCCCTTTACCCAGAATTCCGCATGTCCCTTAAATGTCTTTCGGCCAATCGGCATGGTCCTTCACATTTGTCCACATGCACTGTCGTCCTCCAGCAGGGGGCACCATCGTACTGCAGATCATTCCTTGGCCTAGGTCAACACCTTGTCCTTTGATCTTTAGACAATGGCCAGTCACATTCATATACAAAATCCAGATATCTTGAACATGTCTTCCCAATGTGCCTGTCACCCTTATCAACACCACAGGGTGCAACGCTTGATGTCTTGTCCCGATGAAGAAATGTCACCTTTCTCATCTCCCCTGCCATGCCCCAGGCATGAACAACACACAGTTGGTCTCTTTGATGAGCAATGCAATCAAGATTTGAAGATATCTGTTCGGCAGCTTTCGTACATGAAAATGTTGTACACTCCAACAGGGAGCGGCACACCTTGCTCTGCCTGTGTTTGTGCAGACACGCACAGCTTACTATTACACATAAAGGTTGTGCCATAGGACCCTGCAAGGGAAAGTAGACACCCTAAAACAGGATATCAGTGCTCAGGGGAACAGCTGATTCTGCAGGAAACTAAAACTTTTAAATATCAAAATGCAGCTTCCATTGTAAGTCATTTAATCAGCATATGAAATAGCCTAAAGTTCATTTCCACCTTTGTACTCTTTAAGGTGATACTTCAATAGCTTTTTGCTGGGATTCAGGAGCCCGGCACTGACAGCTATGGGACCGGAAGTGATGTAATCTACATCGTTCCCGGTCCCATAGAACGGGGAGGGGATCAGTGAATGAAGTTTTGCCCAACTCCTCCCCAGCTTCCCCCGACACCAGAGAAGCCGGTCCTGAGCCCGTAGGAGGAGCAAAAGAGCCCGGGAAACTGTTGACCGTTCACCGGCCCGCAGAAGCGATCTGGCGGCAGCAGAGCCACCAGAATCGCTTCCACTGTAAAGCGGATAGTCGGCTTTACAAATTCAACAGCAAAAGCCGCCGGGAGTCTGTTTAAACGGCCCGCGTTGCCAGTGAAGTACACTGTATGTCACTGGTCATGAAGGGGTTAAAGCAGCATTGAGGTGGAACTTTTGACTTCAATGTCACTTTGGCTATGAAATTCTCTCTCCCCTCATCTTGAGAAAATGCAGCCTTCAATTCAGTTCCATTGACCTCAGGTTGTCCTAATTTTGCCAAGCATCTCCATATTCCAAAACACAGATATCTCCTAACTTGGCCTGCGATCTTTATAGTCCTTAGCACCAATTACCTAAGTTGATTAGTAACCTTAGGGTTACCCTCATAACATTTTTATGGCTGATGAAAGTCAACCAAGCATAATTGAAAATCACCAATAAATAAGCATCTGACAGATTTAGGTAAACACAAGAGGGTCTGGCAAGTATAATGATCCGGTGACCTCCTACCCCACTTAGGGTCATAAAATTGAGTTACCAAATCAACCCACTTTCATAACTCAGATGAATTGGGTAATTATATCATAATATTCATTGCATAAACATCTGTGTCTCATCAAGATACACACATACCAATCATGGGTGGGTTACAATAGTCAGAGGCCTGACGAGCCACATTTATCCTCCTGGGCCAGACATAGATCACACCGATTCCAAGTTTGTTTTTTATTTAAAGGTAATTTCATGATACACAGTAATTTAGAGGTTATCAGAAAGTAGTATGTTGAAATAAACTATATGGATATTTATACATTTGACAGTTTGGGAGGAGCACAGAAGGACATCGTAAAGGCTTTGCCCTCCTGCTTCTCCTCACCAGCCCTGCCTTTTGGGCCAGCTCTGTGACACCCCCGATAGGACTGACAAAAATATGCTGGAGAGGCAGCTAGAGAGGCTCTTGTTTTAACATCAAGAAGAGGGACTCCTGCAACATCAAGAAGCTCATAACACCAAAGCTCCAAGAAGAGTTCCCCTTCAACATCAATAAATAATTTTTGCAAGCCTTTCTTGGAGAAGGAGCCATTCAGATCCACCTTCTGTTTATTGAACTGGACTCAGAACTTGGTCAGAATTTACAAACTCAGGACTGGTAAGTATTCTCTTTTTATTATATATTTTACTGTTGTTATATATATTTTGTCTCTCTTTGTTAATATCTTTTTCTGCATATTTTCTTCAGCGTTTCTTTTATGAAAGGACGATCTTAAAAGTTGTTTAACTTATCTCTACGCTCTAAATACAAACTTAAAGTATCCTTGTCTCCGTGAAGAGCGCTCCTGTATAGTGAATCCTGTCATATTCCTGTCTGAGAGGACAGTGGTATCATAAGCATTGTTTAAGTGTTTGCTATAAAACAGCATTTGCTGAAAACAGTTCAGGTTGTCAGTTAAAACACATGGTGGCAGTGAGCGTTTGGTGGGTAAAGGGTTAACTGCAGAGTTAACCAACCCTAGTGATGATCGCTCTCAGTCTGCTGGCCTGAGATTGGGAAATCTCTGTGCAGGGTGAGGCTGAGAGAGGTATCACCATGTCCTTGTGACAGCTTGCTCGGTTCAAAACTGCGAATAGTCACGTGTTGTGGACATACAGAGGTTTCAGAGCGGGCGCATCCGTCACGGGGGGGGGGGGGGGGGGG